AACACTCTACACATGCATATGAAGTTGTCCGTGTCGGGTTTTCCTCAAGAATGATGCAAAATATTCTTTTTTGTTGGGCAAAACTGCAATCCGATCCTTGAACACTTTTTTTACTGCTGTCCTCCAACTTTCTATAATTTTGTGATTTAGTCACTTAATTTGTGATTTGCCCCAATCAAGTCCTCATAAGCAACAAACGGAACAACATTTTTTTTTTAACTCAACCCCAAAATTCTTGCCGCATGCACCACTTTGTGTTTAATTCATGAACTTAACATAAATAATTTGGCCTTTTTTTATGACTTTATTTAGACATGGCTCCAAACCGAAGACCTACTTCCAAGATGGTTTCCACCATTGTAGTGTTGAAAGGTGATTGGATTGCTGATTCGTCCAACACTGAAGAGGTTGGGCAATCCTTGCGCTTCCCGTCAACTCACATATGGTCTTCTTCTTCGTCAGAGGCTAAAAAGCTTCAACTTATGGTGCTTGAGTCAACCAGTGGTCCCTATGCCATCGAAGGACTTTCTCACCTACTTGCATTAGAGATGCCCAAGCTTTGTGAATATGTGACCTTGGAAGGAAAAGCTTCATCAACGGCAAGCCACGCTGGATCTCTCCCCTCCTTGGTGCTTCCATCCAATCATGTGACTGAACATGCAACACCAACAGTGATCGTAACACAGTTGATCAGTCGAGGAGCGAGCAAATGGTGTCAATGCATTGATCATTTGGGAAAGGTACCATTCCTAAGTGGCTTCTGGGATTGGTCAAACTACACAGCCAAGATGCTAAGTCATCACAAGATGGGAGCTTTAGCAGACGCAGTGTCTGTCCAATAATGTTGTCCTTTGAGTATGCTTCGTGCCCTCATTGAGGTATGGTCTCCCAGTACAAATACCTTTTTAACTTCTACAGGAGAGGTTGGAATTTCTCTCCTAGAGATGTGAGATATTTCTTGCTTGTCAATTCGAGGAGTATACTATGAGGAGGTGATTCTAAGTTACAAAGAACTCACAAAGAATTTACCACCTTACTGCTTACTTCTGTTTAAAGCATTTGCCACGATCGTCCAAAGGGAGAATTCTAAGCGTGTAACTTATGCTAATTGGCTCGACTTCTGGTATAATCGTAACCCACCCTATGCCGATCCACTCAAGAGCAGATGATATCTAGATATGTCTGAGTTGAAGTATGATGGCAATGGGAATGTGATTTCAATTCCTAAACTTGACCGCCCATTGAAGTGGACATTTGGACATGAGAGGAAACTAAGGGGTGTACTAGAACAATGGGATCTACTTAGCATGTTGGATGTTGCTTTGGAGGTAAATGATAGAGAAAAACTTTTGATTGCTGCTTATCTTTGTGTTTGGCTTGGCAGATTTGTTTTTCCAGATGGGGAAGAATTTGTTAAAGTCGGAACTTTCAAAGTTGCAGCCCAAATGGCAATCGGTGTTACCTATAGCTTGGTTCCTCCTATCTTGGCATGCATCTATCGTGGACTTAGACAACTAACAAAAGTGCCTGAAGGTTCATGGGTACATGCAACTGAAACTCCTCCTTTTCCTTGACATTATTTATATGCTTGGATTGGTTTGCATTTCCCCCACAAAACTTTTGCAGCCAGATATGAAGCTTCTCTACCTATAGTTCGGCAATTTCATGGGATTTTGAATGCATACCAGCCTTGGGAACTAGAGGTAACGGATTGTCGTGCAGTTTTACGAGGTGATTTATCCTCAGACGACTTTTGTTAGACTCTAGTGCCTTTACCAACCCACCCTGGACCTCGAGTTGATGATGGACAACGACGGGCTGACACTTTGGATTTCATGGTGAGCATCAGAGCAGGTTATGTGGTGCTTCACCAAGAAGGCCGCTTCACAAAGAAGTCTTACAATCCTCATCGATTTGCTAGATAGCATGGATTTCAACAAAGACTTCCAGGAAGACATGTCAAATTGCCTCATGGTGGTGAAGTGTCAAATATTTATCGCTTCTGGTTATCTTTAATCCGAGTGCATAGCAAAACATTTCTTCATATCCCCTCGGCTGAAGGCGGAGTAGCATCTAGGGTTGACCCAACTTATGTGAAATGGTGGAATGAAGGAGTTTTTCCTTCAATTTCTACAGTTAGCATCCAATTCTTGAAGGCTAGCGAGGCTAGAAATTTCATCCCATCCTTAATGAAGAGCACAATAATTAGACCTCAAGGGAAGGGGAAACAGCTTCAAGCACTATTGTCTCCATCACAGAAGCGAAATAATGCTGGTGACCCTAGTCCATCTTCAAAGAAGCAGAAATGCAACAGAACTCCTCAAAGAGAGTCAGACTCTTTACAACATCCACTTTCTATGCCTGTTGCCCAACAAACCACCAATCAAGTTTTGTATAAAGGTAAGCACGTTTCCTCCCCTTTTAAAGAAAGTCTTCTTTTCTTTTCTTTTTTTTAATCTTAAAATTCTTTTGTTATTGACTTTTTTTTTTTCTTCTTTCAGAAATATTTAGCTCCTTAGAATTAAGAGGACTGCCAGGAGATGCAGAGATGATTAGTGCTTTAGATGATTTTCTTGAGACAGACACTCTTGAGATACTTGGATCACTTCCAAGTCAAATTGATGGAGGAGTTCTATCCTTGAATGTTAGTGAGCAAGTAACTGCCGAAGATGGGGAAGTTGACTCTCATGACAGACAACCAAGTGTGAAGGAAACCGTTGGACTTAATCCTCCTACCATGACATCATCTAGTCCACTAAAACTTAAGCCTACATTCTCCTGCATCACAAAGCATTTGGAACCAATTAGCTCTCAAGAACTGGTGAAGCTCATCCTTTTTAAAGCTATGAGGAACTATGTGCAAGAGGAATTTTCACGAGGCTTGCAAAATGGCTTTTTTGGGCTTGGACAGTGGTGGGCAGAGCGATCTTTTGCAATTTTAGAAGCACTCCAGCTCTATTTTCGCATGGATGTTGACTCTTTACTTAAGACGATGGATGCTTACCTATCTAAGGTAAATCTTTACTTAGCAAAATGAGATGAGGTGTCCACCGGCTTGGATGTTGAAGAAAGAGATAAATCTCTTACTGCCTTACAGAAGGGGATATCATCAAATCAAATCGTCCATGACTCTCTTTCAAAGGAAATCAATGAACTCACCAAGAAGAAGGGATCCCTAGAGAGTAAGATTGAAAGTTTGAAGAAGGAGCTGGAATCAGTTGAGCAGCAACATGGTGATGTGACTTCCACACTTGATTTGCTCCTTGACAAAAGGCAAACAGCAGAAGAGCAACTTCAGTCCAACCAAGCAAAATTGATAGAGTTGGAAAACTCCAAAGTTGTAGCTGTTGAGACAGTCGCTGAAGTGGAGAGGATGCGACAAGACCTTGAAATTGAGTTTGAAGCCATTGCAAAGGGAACTTGGTTTGAAAACAACATGTGATGTTGTTCATTTTGTATTCTTTCCCCTTTTTTTAGACTTTGAGCATTCCTTTTCAAAGACTTGTCAAATTTTGGCTTTAGCCACTTTGTGAATAAATAAGATGCATTTTCTTCACTTTTGTTGTTCTCTCTGCTTTGCTTTCTTTGCTTGACATAGACATTTCTCCCTTTGTTGGAAAACTTGAAATGAACCATAATCAAAAGCAAACTTAAATTTATTTTAAGAATTTGACTGACCTTGGAAAAAAACACCAAGCTGCCTACGTACCCTTTTTTAGGGATCAAGTCAAACGTAGTTCAAAGGTTTTTTTTTTTTTTTTTTGAGCCGTTCACAGTTTATACTCTTGCAAGCCAGGAGTATTACATTTTTTTTTATTTTGGTCATACAGTTTATACTCTTGTGATTAGGAGTATTACATTTTTCTTTTTAAGAGTAAAACTTCTTGAGGAACTTTCCATTAATGGGACCAATTTGTAGACCATCTTTGTCAACAATCTTCTAGGCACCATTACTGTAAACTTCTGTCACGATATAAGGACCATCCCATTTTGAAGTAAACTTGCCCCCTAAATGATGAGTAATGACAATTGGCCTTCGAACAGCTAACTCCACATCTCCAACTTGAAATGCCCTTAGTCGGACCTTCTTGTTGAATGCCCTGGACAATCTGACTTGATAACACTCTAAGTGTTGCTGGGTCTCCAGTCTTTTCTCATCTAAGGCTTCTAGTTCTTGGAGACGGAGCTTGGCATTTTGTTCATCAGTAAGACCTTCCTGAATGGCAATCCTGAGATATGGAATTTGGCATTCCAAAGGGAGAACAACTTCAACTCCATACACAAGGGAATAAGGAGTTGCTTTTGTTGGAGTACGATGAGTCGTTCGATACGCCCAAAGTGCTTCACCAATTCTTTCATGCCAATCCCACTTGGACTTTGAAACAACCTTCTTAAGGAGATTGCAAAGGGTTTTAGTAAAAGCTTCTACCAGTCCATTCACAGTAGCATTGTACATGGAGGAAAAATGTTGGGTAAACTTGAACTTTGAACACAGCTTGTCCATGAGACTGTTGCTAAAGGGCTTGCCATTATCTGTAATTATGTACCTTGGAACACCATACCGACAGATGACATTAACTCGAATGAAGTCAACAACATTTTCCTTCTTGACTTCTCTCAAAGATACAGCTTCCACCCATTTGGAGAAGTAATCAGTTGCTGTTAGGATATATGCATGCCCAGTTAAAGATTTTGGTGTTATGGGTCCAATCACATCTAAACCCCTAGCATGAAAGGGCCACGATGCTATTGTTGGATGTAAAGCTACGGTGGCTGATGGATAAAGTTTGCATGAAATTGACATGCTTCACATTTCTTCGCATATTCCATGCAATCCTTTACCATTGTTGGCTAATAGTATCCCATTCTTCTTATTCGATAGTGAAGCTTTGGACCAGACTGATGAGCTCCATAAATTCCAGAATGCACCTCCTCAACCACTTGGGATGATTCATCTCCATCCAAACATCTAAGGAGAACTCCATCAAAAGATCGCTGATAAAGGGTGTTACAAAAGTAAACAAAGCGTAGAGCCCTTCTTCGAATTGTGGATTTTTGGTGTAGATCATCTGGTAGCTTTCCATGTTGTAAGTAATTGATGATTGGTTATCTCCAATCTTCTTTCTCAATGACACATACTGAAACAACATTGCTTTCTGCATCTTCAGATTTCAAATGAGGTGAAATCCATCATTGCAACATAGAAATAGTGACTTCTTGATTATCGAGACTTGCAATGACAGCAGCTAAATTAGCCAAAGCATCTGCTTGCTTGTTTCGACTTCTAAGAACGTGGGCAATTGAGACAAGATCAAATTTCTCAAGGAGTTGAGAGGCATATTGGAAGTATGGGACAAGTTCTGGTTTTCGAACATCAAACTCCTTTATGAGTTGATTCACTACCAAGCTTGAGTCCCCATAAACATTGAGTTGATAAATTTGCATTTCAAGAGCTATCTCCAAGCCCACAATCAAGGCTTGATACTCAGCAACATTATTGAAGCATTGTTCTGTTAAAGTAAAAGAGAATGGTATTACTTCATTTTTTGGTGTTACAAACACCACGCCAACCCCAGCACCATCTCTTCTTGATGCTCCATCAAAGTAAAGCTCCCATGATGGCAATACATCTACAAAGAACACCTCCTCATCTAGAAGATCCTTTGACAACTCCCATTTAGCTGGAATTGGATGATCTGCAAGAAAATCAGCTAAAGCTTGTCCTTTTATCGCCTTTTGTGGCACATAAATTATTTCAAATTCAGACAATAATAGTGCCCATTTTACTAATCTACTAAAGAGCATCGGCTTTGACATGATGTATTTTAAAGGATCTGCTTTTGAAATAAGATGTACAACATGAGCCAACATATAATGTCTCAATTTCTTCGTAGAGAAGATCAGGGCTAGGCAAATCTTCTCAATGGGTGAATAATTCACTTTTGCCCCTACAAGAGTACGGCTCAAATAATAGAGAGCATTTTCTTTTCCTTCTTCATTGACTTGTGCCAGCAATGCTCCCAAGAAATATTCTTGTGCAGCAATATAAAGGATCAATGGTCTCCCAAGAATGGGTGCAACAAGAACTAGAGGGTGAAGGAAGTTTTCCTTAATGCTTTCAAAAGCATTTTGACATGCTTCATCCCATACAAATGGTGCATCCTTCTTCATTAACTTACTAAATGGATGACACCATCCAGCAAGGTTTGAAATGAACCTCCGAATGTAAACCAACTTACCTTGGAAATCAGAGATTGTTTCCCATTTTTCTTCAAGTTTATAATACAACTAGAAAGTGAAGAAGGTTCCGCTGCCACCAATGTTGCCATGGTTTCCTTTGGATCCTTCAGTAACCAAGGCAGGTAACAGGGACTTGGACGATGATGAAGGATAGTCAACCCACCTTAACTTCGAAGCAAACACATGACTGGGCCTGAGACTGAGTTCTTCACCTTCACTAGATTCTGAAGAGAAGTACTCGACATCCTTCACAGGCTGGAAAGGCGACTGGATGGCTAATGATCGTTTTTTCATTGCAGCCTCCTTACGACGTCTTCTAGTGAATTGCCTCAGAGTAGAGACAAACTTGGATCTCATCATGCGCGCTTTGGCACGAGTCAACAAGGAGGATTTATTGGAAAAGATTTGAACTTTTTTCATAGACCGAATTAAAGATGGATTCGGAGACTTCAATAAATACAACTAGGGTTGCCTTAAATCAATACATATTATTTGATTGAACAGCAAAGATATGGTCTCATCAACCTAGCCCTTCTAGGCTCTAGTCAAGTCAAAATTTTGTAGATTAAATACGATAATTACGTTTAAAATTTGCAGAACTTAGAATTTTAGGGTAGAGTCAAGTCTTCTGTGAGGAAACTGGATTTCTGTGACCATCTGCAACTGTGGGCAACTATTAGTATCAATTTCTAGATCACAACCAATCTAACATTAAAGTACATGATGAAATAAAAGAGCTGCCAAATTCTAACTTTATTCTTTCTTGATTTCATATTTTTAATTTATTTAAACTTTCAGATTTTTATTCTTTAACTTATTTAAACTATTAAGCATGAAACTATTCAATCTTCTATTATCATTAGAAGAACGTCTGCACTCAAAAAAGAACAGGGGAAATTTTTAGATTTTCTATAAATCTAAAATACCCTTACAGTAACTAAGCAAAACATAAAACTAATCAATTCAAACTAAATTAATTAAGCAAATTCCTCTTGATATATTGATTCATTTATTTAAGTCAACCTAGATTAGAAAGAAAGTGAAATTAAGTTCAAAATTAAGCAGAATAAAACAGAAAAGAAAAGGAAGCAAGCCACGAAACACCAATAATCCATTTAAAAATCTACTGAACTCCATCCAATTAAGAGACAAAAGTGAAAACCCAAATTAGAGGCTTAGATTAATTACATATTCCAACTGACTTTAAGGATGATAAGGCTACGCGAATTAATCTTCAGGTTTCTTCAATCGAAGAGAGAAAGAAACAAAATTTGCTTAAAGAATTAGTCCTTAGCAGAAAAGAGACAAAAAAGAAACATTCTTCCTTCGTGGGCTTTGCATAGTTACAATGCCCATGAGCGGAGGTTTTTGTCGATAATGCTACACTTGGAGATTCAAGAGATGAAACCCTACGACGCACCATCGATGCCTCTTCCTTCCTTCATCCTGGCTTTTATGCGGTTTTGGTTACCTCCTGGGATTGGAAAATGTAGAGAATTTGAAACCGAATCACTTTTGGTAAGGAAAAAGGAGAAACTTGAGGAGTGGTCTTGAGCGGTTACCGGACGTCTGAGGTGGCGTTTGGGATTTCTACGAGCTGATGTGGTC